TATTTGAGGGGAAAAGGGAAGTGATAAGGATTACTATTGGTTTATGAAAGAAATCGCGCGTTCCCACACAAAGCAAGGGAAATATGTCCTGCTCTTAATTAAATGCATAGTTGAGCCAAAAATAGATTTAAGAACAGGATGTGGCTTTTAAAAGTGTGAGAAAGTATTTCAAATAGAATAATTAATTAGGAATAAAGTAGGAGTTGTTTTATAGCAAAGAAACTAACATAAAAAGATTAATAGAAGCTTTTTATGTTACATATATATATATATATATATATATATACTAAGATAATTGAAAAGTGAAATTTTGATGATTTTTTAATATTTTTACAGTGTTTTATGTTTATTGCGTACTAATAATTACTAATAATTATTAGTAATTACTAATAACTTAATTCTGTTTCGTGACATTTTGGAGGATTTTGACCTGTATTTCGAGACTTTGGTAGTCTTGTTCAAGATGGCGACGGAGGAGGCTGCCACGTTGTGAATCCTGATTAATTCTTATTTCCACAAGCAACATCGTGATTCCTTGTGTACAACTGTTAAACCGCGCTGTGGATTGTGCAATATTTTGAGAATAAACTGGTGACTGAATAACACTTGTTTACGCCAACAAACAATTTATAGCGCTAAACTTCAAATAATTTCGTCGAATCTTCGTCGAATACGAACGTTCGCCGACTGCATGGGATGACTGGTCCTAATTATTAAAACATTACATTAATCTATCTACTTATGTTCTGATAAACAATCACTTTGATTCTTCTTTGGACTAGTAAGTGTTCAGAAGGCGACAAACTTAAATTTTATGGTGAATCGTATATTTTATATCAATCTTTATTTACATTCTTGACTTAGCCTTATTTTTAGCTTATGATTATTTGATCAATTTAACTTATACTTTTGTTTGTGTTTGCATTTCACTTTTTAGTAAGTTATTGATTGGTTTCTGGTACTCATTTTAAATTTTCATCTATCGTCTTTAATTTTTAATTATTTTATTGCCCTATTTTGGTACTTATTGAATTATAAATTACTCACCTTTAGTTTTTAAATGTTCCTTCATCCTATTTACTTATCTAATTACTAGTTGTTGGTTTGATACCGACGTTTAACCGATCTTTTAATTATTTTATTGCCCTTTTTTTGGCACTTATTGCATTTTAATTGCTTACCTTCAGTTTTTATTTTTAACTTTAGTTTTTAAATTTAACTTTAGTTTTAAAATCTTCCTTCATGCTATTTATTTATCTAATTACTAGGTGTTAGTTTGGTGCCGACTTGTAACCGATCTTTTAAATATTTTATTGCCCTATTTTGGCACTTATTGCACTTTAAATTGCTTTTCTCCATTATTAAATTTTACTTTAGTTTTTAAATGTTCCTTCATGCTATTTATTTATCTAATTACTAGATGTTAGTTTGGTACCCAATTGTCAATTCGAACTTTAACAATAATTTTGGGTCTTTTAGCCCACTTTTGCCGTTTTTATTATATTACTTTCAAATATCTACTTAGTTTTAGATTAGTTTCTACTATTCATTTTAATCTTTATCCACTGTTTCCGATCTTTTAACTATTTTATAGCCCTATTTGACACTTCTTGATTTTAAACTTGAATACTTTTAACTTTTACTATGCTCTAATTCAGTTTCGATCTACGTTTGTCCCAATACTTAGTTCTTTTATACTTTTTAATTTTATCAAATTACTGGGTATATGTTTTATAGATATTATTAATTTAACTTGACCATCTCTAAAATGGCTTCAGTGCCAAACTATGATCTGGATCACCCACCGACCATTCCCCTGAGAGAGACCGAGTGCATGGATAATAACGACCCCAATGGCTGCGAGGGATTTATGATTACCCACTTTCTTAAAACGGCCGTAACCCTCAAGAACAAAATGAATGCAATCATCCAAACATTTACTGGTAGAATTTCGAAGGCTAATAAAGACGAGATAAATAATACAATAAATGAATTGATGATCTTGGTAAGCAAACAAGATTCGACTATTACCGTCTATAAACACCAGCTTGATTACGTTAAGGGACAGGTGGAGAGAACAGAAGATGCGGTCGACGATACAATTGACAATCGAAATAAAACATACGCAGACGTTTTGAGAGCAGGGATAGTTTCTGCTACCCAGGCAAACAACAAACTAATCAGGCACATATTACCATAATTTGACCTAAAACTTTCGGCATTACTTCAGACAAAACCAGATCAGATATAGTAAACAAACTGGATTCAAGTAAACTAAAGGTCGGAATGAGGAGGATGATAAATATCAGAAATGGCAGAATATTGATAGAGACCAACACTGAGAATCAACAGGGCAAACTACAACAAGAACTGGCGGTCACATTAACTGAAGATTATAACAACACAAGGCCTAAACTAATCAACCCATCAATTACCATCTACGGGTTCAACAGAGAGATAAACAAAGAAACCCTAACAAACATGATAGCAGGACAAAATGATGGTATAGTCGAAAATGATTTTGAAGTCAAATTCACACTCAAATCTGGTACCGACAAACAGAATTGGATAATTGAAGTTGAACCCACAGCCTACATCATTCTAAAGCAGAAAATATACAGCCAGCTGAATTATGATATCGAACATTTAAACCTAGATATAATTGGCATAAATGAACCTTATTTCAATAACCAAACAATCATTACGGATTTCTCTGCCGACCAGAAGATTTATGCACATGAAAATAAACCAAAGACAGCAATATTGGTGGGAGGAAAACAAATGGAAGATTTTCAAATTGTATGCGAGCAAACCCTCGTGGCCATTGGATATTTCCATGAACGGGCGAATCACGTTTTCATCTCAATTTACATCCCCCCAGGGGAAGATCTTGCACCAAATCTGGTAAAACTTGAGTCCTTGGTCACCCGCCACAAACAGAATAAATTAATCATGTTTGGCGATTTTAACGCTAAGTCACCACTTTGGAGGGGTAACATTAATCACAGATCTGAACCAATCATCCAACTAATTAATATGTATAACCAGCTTTCTTTTTTTTACATTTTAATATATTATAACTTTAGTATTCCATGAATTTTTAATGAGTTTATAACATTCTCTGAGTTAGGAATAATTTATAAAGTATGTAATTGTCTGAAATAATCTTGTCATTAGTATTTCCAGTCACGGTAGAACAGTAATCATACGATACTTCAGTTATCTAACACTTCTTTTGACTTGCACTTTAAAATATTCTGATCACTGTTACATTAGTTTGTACTAACAGCTTTATCATTATTACAGTTGATGTTACTAGATTATTCTTCTGACAATGAGTAAAACATGTATCAAATCATTTTATTTTATATATATATAGAGAGAGAGAGAGAAAGATAAAAATATTTTAGTTGTCCTGTTAAATTTTTTTACTACTATAGGTAATCTCAATTATAAAAAATTACGCATTGATTAAAATCAATTATAATTACGTAATTTATAACTTTGGTTCAATTCGGTTTGTATCTTCGATTCAAAATGTCCTTTTAATTTTTATTTCATTGTTTGGTAAAATCACATTTAACTAATGTCTTTAGCTTTTTATGATTAAGCAATTAAAAATAAATAATTAAATGTTGCACGCATATTATAATGTATTTTGATTTGAAAACTTATCTATTACAATCGCGAATAAAATAGAAAAAAAAAGAGAGAGAAAATTCTTCAGATACTCTTAGAAACATTTCGGCGTGATGCAAACGTCAGCCATAAATTTTTCGTCAAAACGGTAACCTCCATCCTTGAACAAGTTTTCCGAGTCCAAACAATAGACTTGCTGGCTAATGTGAAATAGAAAGGCAGAGGAGATGGTATATGGGGCAAGGTCACGCATTCCTCCTTTCTTCCAATCCTTTGAAAGACGGCGAGGCTTCCCCACACCAATTCTACATGGAACTCCAGGGGTGCAAGAGTCAATGAGGTAATGGATCTATAAACTTTAGAAACTGGTGCCGCCATTTAGTGTTGCAAATCGAAAGTAAACGTTCATCATTTACTTTCATTACAAAACAAATAGAGACTTCTTTTGATATTTTTTAAAAATGCATGTTTCTGAAAATGTACATCGAAGAGTATTCAGCTGAAATATTATTTACATACTATCTAAAATGAAGAAATTATCCAGTACGAGTCTTCAATTGCTACGATGAAAATACGAAAATGTCGCAATAATTACCGTGACGCTAGTAGTTGGAGAAAGCGATGTCTTCTATAATATGTTTCTGGATAACATCCTATTGTCTTCGTGAAAAAAAAAGCATCAGAGGTGCTTTTGGTCAATATTTTTAGTCGAACTACGATTCTCAAACAGCCATAGTGAGTGATCATCTGTACATTCCCGGGAAGTTAAATTAATATGTTCAATACAATTCTCACCGCAATTTTCAATAGTTAAAATTGTATATAAGTTTCGATAGAGTAAAATATTCTTCTTTAGAGCAAATTACTGAAAAATGATAATTAAAAGCATAACACTGAAGAAACTAGCTATCTTTGTGTGAAAAATGTGAAGTGAAATTTTAAAAATTAATTAACCAATTTGAAAATAGGAGTTAAAACGCGTAAAAGCATGAAATATATCAGTATGTACATTAATCGAGAAAAGGAACTGAAAACCACTAAAGCGATAAAAAATTAAGAAAAATTCAAACAACTTTTTTTATGAAATTACGAATGTAATGACATAATACTTAATTGGACAAAGTTTAAGAGAGCCGTGGTGGCTCAGGCGATGGAGCATTCATCTCCCAATGAGAAGACCAGGTTCGAATCCCAACGGTGGTTTGTCGATACGAATTTTGCTACTAGCTTGCATGATCTATTTGAACTTAACTATTTGAACAACTTAAACTATTTGAAATAAATCTTAAAACAGAAACTATGTTTAAGAGCACTGAAAGATTGTCATGTGTTGTGACTTAAACAAATAATACAAACATGTATTTCGTCATCCATCCTTTATTTTTTTTAAATTTTGATACATATTACGAATGATGCATCAATGAATCAGATTCAGACTTAGATTCAGAATTAGAAACACATACAGAATATTTCACAAGAACTGTGCTTATGTCCAAGACCATAAGAATAATGGAACTTGGTATTAGCATCCTTCATTTCCTATTCTTTTAAGAACACTTGCAATTCCATGTTTGACGCCTTCCTTTCTTTTGTGAAATGCATCGTCCTGTATCATAATTTCTGCTCTGACAATAGCTAATACAGCTTTGAGTTTGAGGACAGCCGTGGGGATCTGCTTCAGCAATAAAAACTAAATGCAAAATTTCAGAAAAAAAATTATTAATTAAAACAGCATCGTGGAAATATTTTTCTTCGTACAATAAAAGTTATAATTTTTTCGAGTAAGTAGAAAGAGTTTTACTGAGGAACTAAATATTTCTTCAGTAAAAATATAAAAATTTTAATTTAACGAATTATAAAAATTCATACAACATTTCAAAATTTATAGAAAAATTAAAATGGGATGTTCTGTAAATATACCCGTAATATAAATATTTTCCAATTTCAATATATTAAAAAAAAGACAAAATCAGAACGCGAGAAGGTAGGCAAATCAAAATTTAAAGGAGGAAAAGAAAACATTTTTTATATGTAAGTCTCATCTTACGATGAACAAAATATAAAATTTTTTGTTAATTACAGAATGGAACCTTTCTCGTAATCCTCTTTAAACTACTCTCTATTTCATAAAGCAACGAAGCAGGATTTGGTGTTTCTTACATTCGCCATTCCAAGCTAAAACTTATAAAATTTTGTTAGCGTTTTTGTTTTTTCCTGGCTAAAAAATGACTAGTAAACACCTATGTATAGACACTTATCTTCTACATTTTGAATAAAGTTTCTAAATATTTCTATAAAGATCGGACTTTATGCCAAACCCTGCATTATATAAAACAGAATAATTTGGTCTATTTTATAGCGATTCCAAGATTAGTTTATAACGATTAATTTACAACGGAAAGACAAGAAAAAAGTTCTTTGAACGCTATCTTCGCTTGCATCTGTAAGCAGCTAAGATAATTGCGCACCAGGTAAGAGTTAGATCCACTCTTTGAAGTGAAAGAAGCTCACCTACCAATAAAGAGAGTATATTGGTAGCTTTTATCAAATGAATTTTTAATCTAACTGAAATTGAACTTCTTGTGCCTGATTAATTAAAATTTATTTAAGCTAAAAATTTAGATTTCAATGTACTAAACATATTTTATAAAAAATTGAATTAAATATCTAGTATTTATTTTAATTGCATTACACTGAATACATTAAAAATCGTGTCCCTACAAAACAAGTAATAACAATGTTTAAAGAATATTTCATACTAACCTGAAATTCCTACCAAAAGAGTTAACAACAGAAAAGCACTTGCGAATTTCATTTTTACTTTTCTTAGACTAAAAATATAGAAAACATGATCAAAATCATTGAAATTATAAAATAAGGTTTTCTATTAAAATTCTCGCTCAAAAAGGGCACATTTTCATAAAATTCAAACAATAGACGAAAGGAAAAAAATCAAAAATAATAAAAACATAATTGTTCTAACAAAAATAATTTTCGTAAATATTGTAACGTGAGTTTATAAAAATTATTTCTCTCTAAAGAAATGTTTTACCTGATTATTTGTGAGCAATTCTGAAAAAAAAATATTATTGACAAATTAGCTCTAAATATTTTTTTCACGATGTTTATGTCTGCAAATAAAGAAAAATCTATTCATGCGGATAGTCTTTATGCGGAATAGGGAACTACAGTGGTGTTAATTGGATGTAACTTTTTTTACAGATACGATTTAAAAATTCTGTCAATTTTTGTATATATTTTTGCTATGTTGCATATTACCACATGGAGAAAATATTCCTGTACAATAGCCCTGCTGTGTGAAGACATTTCTGGTGAAAAAAAACTTAATTATGGTAATAAAAACCAAAATATACTCTATTCAAACCATTCATTTGATATTTTTTTCGCTCTAATCACAACAGTTTACTGGATGTTTCTTAAAGTTTGAGTTATTACCCATATTTAGAAAAAATTCTAAACTGAACTTGATTTTAATCAAATAAAGGGTACTTATGCTATGCTCTAAGGTGTCATAAGATAAATTTAATAAATTTTACCACAATTTCTAACCTTGTATTGATAATTTTAAAATTTCATTGCCAAGCGTTTCGGTTAAAATTACCGAGCTTTTTGCTGTTCCTATAGTTCCATTGTAACAGTTGTTTAGATAGTAAAACAGTTTACCTTAAAAGGATATTTTAACAGTAGATCATGGGCTATAAATTAAGGATAAAAAATGTAATTTTCGATGAAACAGTGCGAAGTTTGAACAGAATTAGGCAAATATTTTCGATATAAAAATTTTGATCCAGATCGCTCAATTTTAAATCTACTCCCACTTTTAGACTACCCACCACCCTCCCTTAGAACTGAAATATGAAAGACACAGTAACTTAAAGTCATGTTCGTAACAAGGATTAACAATAATAAACAAGGTTATAACTGCTCAATAATACCATCAAGAGAAGAAGGTGAAAAGAAACCAGATTTAAAAGAAAAACAAGGACTCTTGTTAAACATTCAATAGAACGGGGGTGGATAAAATATACCTTTCGAATTAGGCGAGCTGATCAGAAGTTAGATCAGCAGATTCTGACAGGATTAAATTGCTAAATAAACAAAGTTTCCTTATGTTATTCACATGCCACAAGTCATGGAGACAATAAGTAAAGTAAGTGCTAAAAAAATTAAATAGCTTTAGGTAAAACAGAAGTAACATACGTGGAAACTCAGTGGTGTAATGCACGGTATTGGTACAGCTTAGATACCAATTATAATAGTTGTATCTTGTAGATTATATTTAGTACCTACTAAATCATAATACAAGTAGTGCATAGTATTTAAATCAAAAAAGCATCATTTGCGTCAATAATAGCATAATGGTTTTTTATGCTTTCCTAAACAAACTAGTTCTATTTCTAATTCAATTTCTCCTTTTAGAGCCCATTGTATTTTTTTTATTTTAAACTATTTCTTCCAAAATTAATTGAGCATTATTAGCGTAAACAATAGTATAACAATTTTTTGTGTTTCTCCTAAACGAATTAGTATCATTTCCTTAATAATTTTAACTATCGTAGTTTTTTCAGTTAAAGCATAGTACCAAAATTAATTCAACACCATTGGTGTGATAAGTAGTATGGCGATTTTTTATGTTTCGTTTAAACGAATTAGTATCATCTTCGATGTCTCAACGAGGTCTTTTAACCGAATCAGAAGCTTGGAGAGTTGTTGGCTTGTTAGAAGGGGCCTAACACAATCCGAAGTTGAAGGAGCCACTAGAGTTTCACAAAGTTTGATTTCCGAGATTTGGAACCGTTTTTTGGAGACTGAAAATGTAGGCTGAAGATCAGGGCGAGGACGTAGACGTGCAACAACGTTCAATAAAGACCGTTATTTAACTGTTATTATTTCATTTGGAGGGAATGTGGCACTCGAAGTAATCCTACGTTCATACTCCAAAGAGTAAGATTTAGCGATAGGTGGGTGATGATCTATGCTGTCACCTCCAATAATGGTCGCACAGATCTCCTTATCATTCGAAATGGAGCTCTGAATGGTCGCGGATATAGAAATGAGATCCTGAAACCTGTTGCTGTCCCTTACGCTGCAGCAATTGGAGATGACTTCATGTAAATGGACGACAATTGCAGGCTACATCGGGCTAACTTGATGAGTGACTTCCTTTTGGAGGAAGGAATTTCTACGAATAAATTGGCCAGTGTGTTCAAAATCTTAAAACAGAAACTATGTTTAAAAGCACTGAAAGATTGTCATGTGTTGTGACTTAAACAAATAATACAAACATGTATTTTATCATCCATCCTTTTTTTTTAATTTTGATACATATTACGAATGATGCATCAATGAATCAGATTCAGACTTAGATTCAGAATTAGAAACACATACNTTGTTTTGAGCAGTGTATATTAGTAATTTTATAACATTTTAATAAAATATTTTAGGCCCTCATTTTTGCTCTTTCAACTCTTGGCTTAAATATGATTGAGGAATTATATTAGAATAAGAAATAGTTAACAGTGATCTAACTTCCACAAACCATTTAAATAAACTGTCATTTTAAATAAATCGCAAACATACTATTAGCCTCTCTATATGGTAAAAAGCAAAGACACCAAAAGGTTAAAATTACCAAACAGTTATTAAAATGATTGATAAGTCTGGAGATTATTTTATTAATTTATCGTGATATATTAGAGAATGCCATAAATACCATTTATTTGGTTATATATAGATATTTTTTTTTAGATTCGTATCTGTTACCAAATGTATTGCAATAAGAACTATATTTTTAGACTTTCTGGTGAACAGTGAATGGTAAAATTATCACGTGAATAGCTTAAATACTGTATATTTATGTTTAATTATGAAAATTGTTGTTTCATTTACTAGAGATGTCAGTACTAATACAGGTACAATAGTACAAAAAAAATATTTAGTACATATAAAAACTGCACCAGTACGGAGAAGCTTTAATACAGATACTGTGGAAAGAGATTTTTCAGGACCTATCCAAAGAGATAAGTAGAGAAGAAAATTGCTTGATTGTGTAAAAAATTTATAAAATATGGAAAAAAAACTAATAAACAATATAACTATTATAATTTAATTAGGCAAGTTTCAGCTGACAAGAGTATTTGAATTCCCCAAATGTTCAGAAATAGAAAAAGTAATTAATTTTAACTAAACCTGGAGGTATGATGGTATTGGAAATAAAATTCATGCATTTTGTCATGTTATAAAAGCAAATAAGGCAGGTCAAATAAACGGATGACCAGCTAACTCTGTCCACGATTTCCCTCACTCAAACGAACAAAATGCATTGTAAGGAGAGTTTGAAGGGAAAGTATAACAATAGTATAACTAGATTCCTTATAAAGGCGCAGCTTTTATTTTAAAACTCTATCTTTAGCTTTATTATATATTCATTTTATGTTTAGTAATTTATATACATATAAATTGATAGCAAGTTAAAACTTGAAAAATTATTTGTGAGATACAGAATTTTTACAAGTCTCGTCGGCAGTTTTATTATTCTGCTTTTAAATTGAATAACACAGTAACGGAAAAAATTTTATGTATGTTTACCTAGCTTAAAAATGTATTAATAAGTGGAAACATAGATTAAGCATGGCACATCTGCTGGACTAAGAGGTTGAGCTGTGTGAAAAATATTTTTCTTTTCAAAAAACAATTTAAATGAAAAAATTAATTTAAAATATTTTCTTAGGTCATTAATTAATAATTCATGCAAATATATATTAGAGAGCTAGATATTTATTTAGATAAGAGTTAAAGAATTGAATTAGATTTGGGGTTTTTAATTACCCCTGTAACTAGATCAATGACCTCTAGTAAACCTTAATAGACGGAAACGATGCGGCTGGATGCATATAAATTGCAGGAACTCAATTATTGATTCATTGATTAACCTCTGCTGGAAATTTTATAAACAAATTAGTAACTTGATTCGTGAAATGACTCCTACAAAATGGAAAATTACTTTTAAATCTTATTTAAATCGTTAGATGACGGAACCATGTAATACAATTTTGCATTTATATTATGTGATTTAAAACTCCATTCGCTTCAAGAAAATGCAATTTGAAATAACAGCCGAAATGTTTCAAGCACTCTAAACCAAGAGCCCATTTCCCAGATTTGACAGACGTGAATGATACAAAAAGAAGTGAACTGAAATATAAAATATAAAGTAGTCAACAAAAAATTTAAAAATAAAGTTGAGAAGCGAAATTTTAAAAATTAAACAGTAGTCGATAGGGAAAGAAGATAAAAAGCAGAACAATAAAAACCACAATGGTCCAGAGGGGAATATCAGGATAAATTGCATTTCCGTGCACTGTGCAGAAGTTCCAAGAAACTAACGTCGTTAACAAGGAAATCAGCATTCCTATGAATAAAACAAAATTCCAGTGTATCAAGATTAGCTGATGTGATTGGGGTGGAAATAATTTTGGCGTTGTCAGAACAAAATTTATGCCTAAAATTCCAACAATGCACAGCAATTTGAATTTTTTCAAATCCTTGATAGCGGGCATATTTATCGTGTTCTCTGAATCTAAATTTTAAAGCGCGGCTAATTTTTCCGATGTGACCAAAGTCGCACTGACAATTAGTGTGGTACATGAACCACAGCTAAATTAGACCTAAAGAATATGATAGATATATTCGTTATACAGATTTCGAAAAATTATCAATTGCTGCACATTGTTAAAATCTTGGACTTAATTTCAGATTAGACAATGCTATTCGACAAGATTATTTCCACCTCAGTCACATCAACTCATATTGATACTCGGGAATCTTTTTTTATTCATATGAATGTTGATTTCCTTGTTAACGACAGCCTTTCGATAGCGCGACCTCGCCAAGTTTCCATATCGCGTGGAAATGCATTTTACCCAGATATTCCCCTCTCAACCACTGTGTTTTTTTCTTGTTCTCTTTTTCATTTTTTTAGCTCTTGGCTGCAGAGGTTTTTCTACTTTTCTTTCTCATCTTTGTATTTTTCATTTTTTGTTGGCCTCTTAAAGTTTTATATTTAAAATTACTTTGTTTGCACTATTCACATCTGGCAAGTCTTGAAAATGGGCGTCTGTTTTTGAGCACTTGAAACATACCAACTGTTATTTTCAATATGTATATATTTTGAAGAGAATGGAGTTTTTTTTATCAAGTAATATCTTACCACTTCAGTTTCCTTGGATTATTTATTTATTTTTGTATTACTGCATGAATCATATCAATTTTTTAACAAACTAAAATATTAATATCATTGAGGAGAAAGTAGCAACTTCTATCAATTTTGGACTCGGGTCATTTTGTATCTACTTATATTCATATATCAACTTGGAACATTTAATATACTTATCCAACTGCTGACAGTAGGTACGGATTCATCATTTTGGAGCAGATGCATGAAAGGAAATTACAAATTTGATACATGAAATTTAATTTTTTTCGATTTGATACATATTCGATTCACTACAGATTTTTAAAATCATTCGACATTTTATTTTACTTTAAATTTATCAAATTATAAAAAAATTCCATAACTATTTGTTGAAAAGTTGATTATTATTATTATGTTTAAATGCATTCTTACTGTGATTTTCAGGTTTCTATTTATTTCAATTTTTTTACAATGAATCATGTGTTTTTTTAAGATTTTCATATTTTTATATGCTCAAAAAAATTAAATTAGTCTCATTTAAATGGTTTTATATGAAATTTATAGTTATAATTGATTTTAGTTTCATACCCAAAACTTTTCACAGGAAATATAGAATTTTTAGTTTTTCTTAAAGTTTATTATCAGTAAATAGATAAATTTAAAATAGTTTTAGCTCTAATCGAAGTGGAGTTTTAGCTCTAATCGAAGCTATAGAAATTTTATTTAAGAATTCATTCAATTTTCCACCCTTAATTTTGATTGAGATCAAAATAGAGATTAATATGCATCAAGCATCATGTGTCCGAAACTGATACCAAAAGTTTATCTATATAGGTTTGTAACCAATACTAAAAAATTGTATTTACCTATCTCTTTTAAGTATTGGTTAAAAAGTCATTCAAAGATAAATTAATGATTGGAAGTGAACACACGCATTGTTAAAAGGGTATATAAAGACATGTACCCTTATATATTAACAATAGAAAATACATTTTCTTTCAAACTTTTTATTGAATTTACTATGTTATGCATGTTGCATTAATATAAATGCAACATACATGATTTAATGCATTAATATAAATTGCTTCAATACTGTTATAAAATAAAAATTAAATTAAAAATTATAAAATTTACTTTAAATGTTATGTAAATCCATTTTACAATAAGTTATACATAAGTAATACATATATTTTATATAAGTTACACAAGTATTATTTCTGTATTATGAGTGATTGCATTAATTATTTATGATCAAGAAATAAGTGAAACAAAAATTAGCAATAAATATATAATATTGATTTTTCAATTATTATTATTTTGTTGAACACTGCAAAGACTCTCCTAGATTTACCTTATGAAGAATCTAATGTCTAAAATCATCTTTTTAACTGAGTGTTTTTCAGTTTTATTAATCATTTAATTAAAAATAATAAACATAAACATGTATAATATAGTAAGATATCTATATTGATACTTCAATGTCTTAATTAGTTTAATGTCTAGTGGTTTTTAATGTAAATAATGACTAACTAGATGCGATGTTTAGGTTTGTTATTGTCCATATGCGCAATGGAATAATTTAACATGCATATCTTATTGTTATACTTCACACGACCAAGTTAAAATCGTGTATTAACTGCGAAGAAGAAGAAGAAAAAGGCACTTAAAATACTTTATAAAATTAAAGAGACAAAATGCTCAAAGTAAATCTTAGAATGAAAACTATACCTTAAGAAAATATACAGTACTTACACAAATGCAAGACTTCCAAAATGATCATCTAATATCAAGAGTAGTAGCGGTTTTATATTAATGTCAGTGTTTGTTCAGCCTCGTTTATTGAGATTACAAGAGATTTTTTTTGAGATTTGACAATTCATGTAATTTAATTAGACATATACCCTTTCTTATGTTAAAGACTCAAAATTCAATACGAATAAATAAAAATGCGCCTAACATAAACTAAGCCTCCAATGAATATTGTATGACAAGATTTTCAGTAAATTTCGTAACATTGTTATATAAGCGCCTCATACGAATATAATAATGTTTTCGTTGCTTGCAAAAAAATAATCTCTTGTTGATTTCAATGAAGAGATTATTTTTTTGCGATTTGACAATTCATGCAATTTTATTAGACTTATACCCTTTCTTATGTTAAAGACTCAAAATGAAATACGAAATAAATAAAAATGCGAATATCATTAATGTTTGGGCATAATTTTGGGATTATGCTGAACGAGAAAATTTATAATGAAGTCAGATAATCTAGCCATTATTTAAAAATTTTACATAATTATCAAGTGGGACTGAAATGCTTTCGTATTTAGTTAGAATATACCTTATAATTTTCAAATAAACTAGTACTTTTTTTGAGGTATTCGTTCTGACATCTTTGTTTAGTTCATCCCAGACGAGTTAGTAACTGTGCTGACTACTCCGATTGGAAAAAATAAGTTTAAACAAATTGGGCAGTCCAGAAGACCCCTTATCATTGTTGTTTCTTTTAAATTTTTATGGTTTTTATTAAAGTATACTTTCATTTACAGCATAAGTGGTTCCCTTTCCACAATAGTATGCACAAACCTGCAATGCTACACTGTTATAATCTTCATTCTAAAATTTACTATTGTCAAATGACCGACAGCAATCTGTCCATCCAATAACCCGTAAAATTTATGGAAAAGAACATTTTTATCTTTACGGTTCTTAAACCATTTACAACTAGAATAGTTTTAAAGCAGTAAAAAAGAAACTTAATTGTATGAAAATAGTTATTTCTGGTATATTGGATAAATCGTACTCTTTGTGCATAAAATGATAGTGCTCAGTGTTTGTCAAATGTTTGAACACAACCATATTTTTTTGTTCAAGAAATTTCTTAACGGCAGATCAGGTACCCTGTTCGAAAATTCTGGTTCGAAGCAGTTAAATAACATTCTGTTTAATATTTTTTTACTATATTCAAACAAATCAATCAAATAATTATAAATATAATAATAAAATTATAATAATTATAATTCAAACTGTTAACTGCGAGAAAAAAAGCGTTTTTCTACTGCTATTACCTAATGCGGTTAAACAACCAGACTTTTATCGAATCAACAATGCCCACCTAATAGAGCAGCGTGGTACATACTTTAGCATAGAGGGTTAATCTGTCAACTCACCACCGCAATATATCCTCTTGATGAACCACATCCTAACTCCTATGCCTTTCAACGAAAAGTCTAACTCCAATAAGTTTTTTTTTTACGGTTTTGAAACCATTCTAGTAAACTGTTTAAAAATCGTAAAGGTAAAAAAAGTTTTTACCATTAACTTTACAGTTAATGGACAGGTTACTGCCATTTATTTTCAAGTAATTTCAGAATGAAATTTCAAACAGTGTACCATTGCAGGTTTGTGGATTGTATTGTGGAAAAGAAACCACTTATTTTAGCTGAAAACAGTAAATGCAGTGCACTTGAATAAAAATCATAAAAATTTGTCTAAAAAACAGTGGTAAGGGGTGTTGTGGACTGACGAATTTATTTAAACTTTTTTGTTCCAATCTGAGTAGTCACCACGTTCACCTGATCTTATCGAATTTGTTTGGGATGAGCTAAACAAGGATGTCCGTACGAATACATCAAAAAAAATTTCATAGTTTGTTTGAAAATTAAACTAAAAGGTACATTCAAACTAAATACAAAGAAAAAAGAGAGAAAAAAAACATTATTTTTTTTCAAAAGTTTTATTTTGTTATTTTCTCTGCTTAAACTCGACAATGCTTCGTCTGTAATAATGTTTTTTTTTCAGAGATAAATATTAATTTTTGATGCCCAATGAACATATTTTCAATATCAATTCAATATCAAGAAAATGTCTTACAATATATATATTTAAGTTTCTTATAACGGAACATCCTGTATTCTTTTTCGATATTGTTGAATTTAACGTTTTCTGCTTTAACTCTAAACTAAACTAAGCTAAATTTCTTTAATCTAAATTTTAAATAAATTGTAACTTAATTAATTAAGTTCAACTAAACTAAGTTTTTGTTTTAACTAAATTTTTCAGTGCAGAATTTTTTTTCGCTTTTATTTAAATAATAATAATAAATAATGTTTAAATTTGAACACATTTTTTAAACTAGAAATTTATTTTTTAGGCAACCTCAAAGTTTGTAATGTTCATTTCTTTCTATTGCTCACTTTTTAGTTATAGTATTATTCATGTTATAGTTTTATTCAAAGCAATCTGAATTGATCGTGATGCGTTGAGGGTTACGGTTAGAAAATAATCTATAACAATTGTGCTTGATAATAAAAATAACTATGAAATATTTCCTTACATAGAAAAGTAATTAATATTTTGATTATACAAATAAAAATAATTATCATGAATAATTATTTAAAAAATATTCTTAAATTTTCTTGCATAAACGCTTATCTTTTACCATTACTGGGACAGATACATTTATTTTTTAACGATGATTCATGTTACGTCTACAACGCTTCGATACAACTAAAATTTCAGTCCAATTGCTGTATTTTAATAATACATTATCACAGAAGTGTTATATCAGTATTTTAACTAATTATTTTATAGAGTTTGAATTATTTATGCATGTTTTGACAGCTTTTTATTTAAATTAAAATAACAAATTTTTCTTGAGAATGTAATCTATTGGTTTAATTTTTAATTAAGATAAACTTGAATTTTCCATTTTTTGATTCACTACACCAATTTTATGATGGCTTGAGGCTTAGGTTCAGCGCAAAAACATCTACAGATCTTTTATGACTTTTCAAAAGACGTGCAATATGTCTTTTCTTATCATTGCTATAACCGTGGTATACAAAGAAACAAATACGCTGCTTCAAATATACATATAGTGACTATATAACTTCTCGTTCATTAAAAATAAAATAAAAACTCTGAAAAAATAAGACGTAATTCTTAGTCAGGAATTTAATTTCATCATGTACTTAAAAAAAGTCAAACTAATGAATCTCTTGAAACTTATTAAAATAAACACACAGAGTAAAACTTTTTTTAGCTTTCTTTATTTAATTCTTTACTTTCGAGAGATTTGTAAAGCATTTTATTTCCATTATATATATTGAAATTTTAATAACAGAAGTATAATTTAGAATTAAAATGTCATATATTAAAACTGTCTTGTCAAGTTTCTCATTAATTAACAGGCTCTAGTATAATTCTAAGTTTAACCATGAGACATCCTACATTAAGAGGGTGTTGCTTACGTCCCTTACTATGATGCACTGTTGTGTTCGAATTATCACCCATACCGGTGCATGAGCATTTACCATCTTTACATTCCCCTTTCTGTTGTTCAATTTTCACGCAGTGTTTGTTGCATCTTTCTTCCCTACACTCTTTTCCTTCAATAACAGCAGCTAAAAAGAAAAAGAAAACAGAATTTTCAGAAGTTGATGTACCCTATAAAAAATCTGGGTAAATGTTTAGCCAATACTTGGTGCAAAGTTTATAATTGCACCATAAATTGTTTAAATGAAAAATACACTCTATAAAAAAAGAATCGACGCACCAAGAACGCACTAAGACGCGCAAAATCGACGCTAGATCAGGCTGGAATGATGCAGACTGGGGACGTATAGTCTTTAGCGACGAATCCCGCTTCAAACTGTGCCCTGACGATCATCGAAGACGTGTTTGGAGACGTACAGGGCAGAGGGGGGATCCTGCCTTCACTATTGCACGCCACACCGGCCCTCAACAAGGCATTATGGTCTGGGGTGCCATTTCCATAAAATAAAAATAATTGAAGTCAAGAATAGTTTAAATTTAGTTTCACTGTTACGGAATTTTTCTTTTTCCAATTAATAAATTTCAAACTAATAACACTTCAATTAATTAATTTTAAGTACCATATTTTAACAGTGCAGCTATTTCTTCATGTATTAAAGACATGAAGAAATAGCTACGTGTCCCTCAATAGACTGTTCACAATAAGACACGATTCCCAATAGATAACTTAAGTCAAACATCACTGGCTGAGTTCAGTGTGTGTATCGGTGACTACTTTGATCAGTTGCGATAGGCCCGAGGGTGTACACATCGATTATCGTCAAACACCACTCTGCGGTAAAATGCTGGACTACCAGCGCAGGTCGACGGACTACCATAGCGGCGGAGCTATCACCTCTGCAGAGGATCAAAATAGCGATGGCATGTCTTCGGATCATTCTCGAAGATGTTACCATCGCCATCATTCTATTGTGCATCTCTAGTGCGACGTGAATAAAGTACTATTACTACTGTTAGACAGTCTTGCCTATCAAAACTTACGGACCTACAAAATGCAACTTTTAAATACAAGCATTTTAAGCAAAAACTGCTCTGCAGATAAATTTTAGAATATTTCCAATAATGTTGCAGATTAATACAGATCATTTCTCTACTAAAAGATATCAAACTGTGACAGAAAATTTGATTTGGAATTAGATTTTTAAGAGCAGATTCAGAGATTAATAGAAATGTTTTTGTTTACAGTTGGCTGGAAAACGAGACCCCGAATTAGAAGGTGACATTTTGAGATGGATCGAGGCTATCATGGGACAAAAATTACCTAATGGACCCTATGAAGAAATCTTGCGAGATGGTGTGATTCTTTGCAAGTAATGTATTCAGAAGAAAAAATCTTTTTAATGTCCTTTTTCATAAAGTAATTTGCATTTTACAATTGAAGATTAAAGGGGATTTATATTTTTCACAAAAATGATGATTGGAACGACATTAGTGGAATTTTCAGGTTCTTTGATAAGTTTTAATAAATCAATAACGTGGAATATCGGTTCCCCTCAAGAGTTATTACACATTGTAGATAGTTTTGGCCGTGCTAAGGAAAAACCGTTCCTGTCTGTCTTGATTTTTTT